GGGCCGGGCCCGCGGCCGCGGCCGTGAGAGTCTCCTGGACTCCCCGCGGGTGCGTGTCCCGGAGGGGGGAGCGGTTCCTGCCCTGGACGCTCCTGTCACCCTTCCTTATACTTCACTTGCTGCTGTCTCCTCTTGTTCTCGTCCTCCCTTCGCTGTCTGCCCAGTGTGTGCATCCTGGATAGAGAGTCCTCAGCGTCTGTGGAGGCGACAGGCCCTGGCGTTGCCCAGGCTTTGCCCAGCTCCTCTTCCTCTGGCTTGCTTTGCTTTCTGCTGGTGAGACTTTGCTCGCCATGCCGTCTGGCGGGGCAGCCCCGTGCACCCGGCTTCCTGCTCCCAGGCAGCTGGCACAGCAGCCCTATGGCAGGGGTCTGCCCTGGCCTTCTGGTTTTGGGTGGGATTTTTTTCCTGGTTTTTTTTTTTTTTGGACTGTGACACCTGCCAGCTAGATGTGAAAGCTTAACAGTGCTAATGGGGAGGTGTGACGGATGCCCCCGCTCTGAGTGAGGGAGCAGTACTTTGGTTCAGGCATCACCGAGAAGCAGGCCCGACCGATACCAGCCCTGCCGTGCAAACCGCTAGAGGCCGCCTCTTCTCAGGGACCAAGGAGTCTAGGCCATGTCTTATCGGGAGATAACGGCACCAGCCACAGCTGGGACCAGACCGAACTGAAACCTTCACAACTGCGCAAGCATCAAGGCGGGGTTTGACTGCAAGTCTATCTCTTTACGCTATAAATGCCTGTAGCCTCCCGAGCCCACGGAGCTCTCCTGTACGGCAGTGGGCTGCTCAGCGGTGATTTCCCCTTGAGCAGGAACGCCTCTTCAGGGTACCCCTCGAGACCCTTTACTTCGGCATCTGGTATCTACAGCAAGGTAAACGGCATTTTACACTCGACCAAAAAGTATATTCTATGTTAGTGACACCTATATAGATCCAGCCGTAGCTTAATTATTAGAAGTTTAGTAGAGTGTTTGACCATCATCTAAGTCATTGTTTAAATCATCATTTGAATCATTGTCAAATCACTGTTTAGTTACCATTCAATTATTGCTTAACTGGCGTTTGATTACAACTTCGTTTCCATTCAATCATTATTAATTATCATTTAATAATCATTTAATTGTTGATAAAACCCTTTTAGTTAACCCCACTGGCTGCATGCTGGGGGTATGACACCTTCAGGCTTCAGTGGAACAGTGGGATCTTGCATGTTCTCTGTGTCGGAAAGTCTGGGGCCTTTCTACTTCCCCTCTCCTTTCTGCAGCTTATGTGTTCTGGGTGGAGCATGGCTTCTGTGTCTGGATCCCAGTAGTCTGGTGGGAAAACTGGTGTGGTGGGGCCACCAGTGCTGGTATATTATGTTTGTTGGGGAAATACTTGTGGGCTGGTCTTTGCTGCAGGGCCCTGGCAGCTTTTGCTGTTGCACAAGAAGATTTTATCCATAGGGGCTGAGAGATATCTTGAAGAAGTGCTTGGTGCCTCCGCCTGTGCTTGCTTTGGCTATCCTGCTCAGATGTCGTGCCTAGAGGAACTGGCTGCCCTGGCAAATGAGAACCTGCTTGACTTCCTCCTGAAGGATGATGCTTCCTTCTCTGAAACCTTAGGGAAGGAGAATGATCAGCTGGAAGACTGGGACCTGTCAGACCTTCAGGTGGGTTCTTGGTATAGAGTCACTACTGGGTTGTGGTTCAGGAGGTTTGCCTTCCTTCTGAGTAAAAGCTTTTTCTGTGCAGTGCCTGGACAACGACATGGATGAGTTCATCAGCTCCCTGCTGAGCTCCTTTGGAGCTGAACCAGGCATACTGGAGGGTCTGTTGCCTGATTTCAGTGACAGCATCATTTCTGAGGATCAGAATCTGTCTCATATCCCTGACGACTTTTCTGGCAGCCCTCAGAGCTCAGACATTGTGCAGGCTGATCACAACTATTCCCTCCACCAGGACCAGCCTGTGCTGGAAAGCATGAGGTCTGGTATGGCAGAAGGAGATATTTCTTCTGATCTTGGTAAGTGATGTGCGTGGGCTCTTTCTGTCCTGGCTACAGGCAGAAAAGCAGTCCCGCATTGGAGTTTTTTGGGTGGCTGCCAGGCAGCAGTGGAGAGAGACAAGTTTGGTGGCTTTCTGCTGCTGTAAAATTGTTGTTTCCAGCTACTCAAAGCTGGCTGGTCAGGTGCTGCCTCACTGAGGCCCAGTGCTTGACTCTCCTTTCCTTCCCCAGGGACATGGATGGGTTTGGAAGGTGCAAGCAAAGTACTGGAACAGAGCTCCAGTTTTCCCATTGCTGATGATGTGGATGCTGGACCCCAGCTTGTGCCTGAAGCCACTGTGCAGGTACTGACTGCCATGTGTGTGGGCCCCAGCCTTTGCTTCTGCTCACATCTCCCCTTCTTTTCATGGCTTAGCTCCTGTGAGGGCTATCTCTGAGGAAAGCATGATGCTGCTTTGGGAAGCTGATCCCGGTTCTGTGCTTTCTATGTGCCCTTTCTGCCCTGGGGTGGACTCCCTTTACTTTGCATTCTTGGCAGGCCTATTTTTGCTGTTTTCTAGTCCAGCTTCCCAGAGCTGGTCCTGACAGAGGAGGAGAGGCAGCTCCTGGAGGAAGAAGGTGTTTCATTACCAACCTGTCTGCCACTGACCGAAGTGAGTCCTTGCTACAGCCTGTTACTTCCAGACAGACTTGGACTACTTGAATGCTTCAGCCAGAGTAGGGGTTTGAAAATATGGGCTGATGCCTTGATGAGAACATTGGTGTCCAGGTGCTGTGTTCAGGGCAGCGTGTGGTGGGGCTTGGTGTCCTTTTTCTCCTTTTGAGGCCTGGGGGGTGTCCACATGCACACACAGCAGCCTCTGCTTTGCTAATCACATAGATACAAAGAGCAACAAGACCTGGCTGCTGTCTATCTCCCCACTCATGACTGCTTGCAGGAGACAGTTACACCACAAGTGCCTCCAGCCTATTTTTTCTGGCTTGCCTAGTAGCTTGTGAGGTGCATGTTTTTCATCTCCCTTAGGTGTGCCTTTTTTTTGCTACACCAGGGGAGCTGCTGGCTGCATCAGCAGGCCAGAGTTTGCCTTGCAGCTCCTGCAGTTCATTCAGTGGTGTGGGAGGGACAGACGACAAAAGCACGCAGGGCTGAGCAGTGAGATGTATACAGGGTTTGTGAGGGTTGGATTGCCAATGCCCTGATGTTGCTGCTAATGAGAAATGACCCTTGCAGGCTGAAGAGAGACTTCTGAAGAAGGTGCGTCAGAAGATCCAGAACAAACAGTCAGCCCAAGATAGTCATCCCAGGAAGAAGATCTACCTGGATGGCCTGGAAAGCAGGTATGGGCAGACAGCAGTGTCACCCAACACTGAGGGAACAGATAGGTTCTTTTAGGGATCCTTGGCAGAATGATGGCGGCACTAAATCAGAGTTTCAATTAAAGCTTTGTTTTCTTAACATACTATGATTAGTATAGCACAGAATTTATGAGTAGAATGGCACAGGATTTTTGCAAGGAGAATCAATGTAGTACAATCTATAAGCAATCTGTAAATCAGAATCGTAACTTGTATTAGGATCTAGGTGATTAGAAATTCTAAGTTAAGTTGTATTACAATTTCTAATCACCTAGATCCTAATACAATTTATGATTTCTAATCACCTGGACCCCCTGCAGATTGGGTCAGATCTTAATACGTGGTTTGCTGTATCAATATAATGATCATAATCTAGACCTGAAAGTGATATAAAGGAATATGAGTCACTGCCTCCATCATGGGAGGAAGTAGATGATGGTGGAAGTTTCCCTGGCCAAGGGGGGGTCCTGGGTCTCACTGTCCAACAGCAGCTCTGGTCCAACTTCCCCCTTAGGACTTGTAACTGCTTGATTTTATGGACAGTGCTCTGTGTGCTGTTATGCTTCCCTGCTCTGTGACAGGGTTGTGAACAACACTGGGCTGGCTGGGTGCCTGGGACCGTCAAGGCCAGTAAGGAAGGGAGTAACTGGCCTAGCGCCCAGGAACCTTGGGGCTGGTAGGGAGGGGAGGAAGAAATCTGTTTGGTTTGTCTGCTTGGTGCACAGGACCTTCAGGGCCTGATAATGAGGGGTGGGAATGAATATGTGACCCGCTCGGTCACACAGAATGGGTGCTCGCCTCTTTGAATGGCATTAGTTGTGCTAACCACGCTGACAGGGGTCAGGAGCGGGGTATACTGGTCACAAGCAGCTGTGCTGTGCTGCTGCTGGGATCTTACCACCCTGGGCAGAAAGTGAGGCGGACCCTATGAGGCAGCAGCTCTCCTCAGGGGGCTTAGAAGCTCAGGGCATAACCTGCCCTGCTGTCTTACACTTGGGAGTCGGCCCACAGCTTGCTCTATTCAAGCCGAGCACTGGCCTCCCAGGGCCAGCATGTTCTCCACATTAGGCTAGTTTGCAATACAGCCTGACGTTGCACATCTGCAGGGCTGGTGTGCTGCTAGGAGTGAGCATCCTTAGGGATTAGTCTGGTGCTTCTCTGTGGGACTGGGCAGGGCTCACCCCTCCTCAATCCTGGTGTGAGATGCTGCTCTCTGGGCTTTGCTCCAAGTGGTGCCAGGTAGACCCAGGATCAATTTTATCTGCCGCAGCTACCCAGAAGTGGTGGCTGATTACCTGAGGAGAGATTCTGCTGAAGTTCCTGCTGTTGACTAGCAAAACCTCTCTGTTTTTCCTCCATGCTGTTCATCTTTCTTGGGAAGGGTGGCAGACTGCACAGCTCAGAACCACAGACTGGAGAAGAAGGTGCAGCAGCTGCAGAAGAGAAACACGTGAGTTCTTTTTGTTCGACACAGCAGGAGATGTGGTGAAAGCTGTTCCTCTTCTTGAGAGTGTGGCCTGTCCTTGGCTGCAAAAGTGAGAGGAGGGAAGCGTGTAGGTCTAGGTTCAGCTGCTATGTTAACCTGCATTGCCTACCCTCCTGCAGGTCATTGCTGAAGCAGTTGCGGACACTGCAGGCCGTGGTGAGGCAGTCCACCACCAAAACTACCACAGTAAAAACCTGCACCATAGTGAGTGGCTTCAGCCCCAGTGTCTGTGAAGGGGCCTCTGTTGTCCTTATAATTTTGGGAGAGAGGTATTTATTGCAGCCAATGATGCCTATCAACGTCCTTTGCTGAAGTCTGTACTGATCTTTCTGTTTCCAGCTTGTGGTTCTGTCATTCTGCCTTATTCTCTCCCTCAGCATCTGTTCGTTCGGGAACAGAGAGCCACAGCTGGAGCCCAGAGGTGAGTGCCTGGGGACTGAGGCGTGGTTTTGGGTGAAGCGCTGCCCTCTGGGGCAGAGCACCTTCCTCAGAGGCAGCCTGAACTCCAGGGTGCCTCCAGCCCAGCAGCCCCTTGCCTGGGGTGACCACTAGGTTTGGCTTTGCTGTCTTGACCCAGCTCTGGACTCCTGCAGAGGGCCCCTGGGTCCAGGTCCCTGGGCCAGGGGTGGTACAAGAACTAGAGGGAACCAGTCCCCCTTGGAACACAAGCTGTGCTTGTGCCTGGCAGCTGTGCAGCGTCCTCTCCCCACCTCCCCTGGGAGGAGGCAGCCCTAGTTGAACAGTTTGTTCCCCTTTCATGGGCTCTGTGGTGGCCCGTGCTTGGAGCAGGGTGCTGAGAGGCTGAGAAAGACAGGGCTGGTCCTGTCCTACCTCTCTTGCAGGACTGTCACAGCAGGCTGGTGAGCTTCCAAACCAAGTAGCACCTGATGTGCAGGAGGATGCTGCGCTGGAGGGGTTCAGCCCAAAGCCTGAGGATCCCTTGCTGTCGTGTGGCCTCAGTCAATCATGGGAAGAGGAGCGGGGTCTGTCCAACCTTGATCCCAGATCTTTCAACAGCAACTCATCCTCCAGCCCTCTGGCATCAGCTGGCTCTGAGCTGGGCCCTCCCCAGCCTCAGGAGCAGTGCTCCCAGAGTGACCCTTTGCAAGCAGTGGTGCTGGCGGAAAGCCACGAGTCAGGAGTAGGTGGAAGACGCTCCCACAGTTGTCATCCAGCACCACCCTACAGATGAGGTGTAACCACCGCTGCCTCCCGATTCTCAGTGTGATGCCAGGCACCCTGCCAGCCAGGCACACACAGAGCTGCGTTAACAGATAGTTGATTAAAGAAATTCACCTGAATACTCTTCCAGTTGCTGGCAGCTCAGAGGGTTTACCAGGGAGGAATTGTTTTATGTTTGGTCTATTCTGATACTCTGGTCTGTATATCTGTAACAAGACTCTGTCTATCTGAGGTGGGGTAGGAAATTCTGGGAACTTTTCTATGGCTGCTGACGTGGCCTGCAGCCTGTGGTACATCCCATAGCTTGCAGGGGTGGGCTGTGGCATGGAGGGTGAAGGTGGTTGGGACTGAGATGCCCATACTCGGTCTGACTGGATGCAGTTGGTGATGGAGGCCACTGCCCTGCTTCTTACCTGCCCAGGTGGAGGTGAACAGGCCGCATCATGCACTTATTACTGTGTTTGGTGGCTGCAAGCACCTGTCCCTTGTCCTCTGCCCTTAATCCTGCAGTGTTGCCTGATTTCTAGGTGTGAGATAGTGAGCTGACTTCAGTGCCCTCACAGGGAGTGGTCATGCCATTGCGACAGACCATGTGTGTCGCCTGTTCCTGCTAGCTTTTGAGCCATGGGCACAGCTCCTGGCCTAACTAGAGAAGGTAATGTGGAGTCCTTCCTGAGCCATGGGTGCTGTTTCCCTTCCGTAGGCATTGAGCCTTTTATCTACCACAGCTCTGCGAGCAGGGCTTCTGGGCCTCTGGGAGAAGACATGCCTCAAACCAGACTGCAGAGGGAGTGTGGAGCAGAGAGCAGCAGAGCTGCTTGCTCTTCTGAAGGCTTTGCGGGCCACAGGACGGTTTCAAAGCTGTGTCCTCATCTGCCCAAGCTTTGCTGTGCTGTGCAGTGATGCAGTCAGCTGGCTCTGGTTGCTCCACAGGGCTGAGCAGAAAGACTTTGAGCTGGTGAGCTGTGTCTTTTCTGGAGTGCAGGTTGGTGTCACCTGTTAAGCATCTTTCTTCATCCTACTTCACGATGCTTCGTAGACTCATATAGAATAGTTTACACTTAGAGGTCATATAGTCCAAATCCCCTGCAATGACTGTGGACTTCTTCAACTAGATCAGGATAATAATTAGTAATTTCCTTTTTAATAGTAAATAAATAATTGGGATGTGTGACAGTGTCCTTTGTGGTTGTTTTGGTGAGGGGCTGGGCTGCTGGGTGGAGGCCACACCAGGGTCTGGGGAGCACTGTGGGAGGAATCCCAGGGAGGCTGGAGCTTGATCAGTCTCGCAGCCTAACGAAGGGCAACGTGCGCCGCCTTCCCTTCCTGAGGCTGTGGCTGTGCAGAGGGGCTTGTTGAGGTGTGGTGCATGTTTGCAGGGCAGATGCACTGCTCTCACTCCCCTTCAAGGGTTCGAAAACGCTTCTCAACCACTTTTGAAGACAAGTAGATGTGATCACCCAGCACCCACGTGTGACCTGCGCCTACCGAAGCCACCGGTGCCATGGAAATGAGCTGCTTCTCTGGTAGGAAGGGCGAGGGGCCAGT